GCCGGGTCTCAATAGGGCTAGCGGCCCAAATGATCGCCATATTCGGATTCAGCATACTTGATTACCTATTGTCCACTAGCTCACGGCTCAAAAGCGATTTGCCAGTTGGTGTCCTTTCCTCGTGAGTTGTTACACTACATCATTAATGGATCATTTATATACAAAAGCAGATATGAAGATTATTACAAAAGGTGAATTACTGAAAGATGAACGTTATAAACTGATCAAAGGTTCGTGTGCGACTTGAAATTACTATCATTTGTCTTGATAACAATGACTGTTTATTTCTCCTATTTTCTAGAAGCTGTTCGATCAAGATTTCAACTTGATGATGCTACAATGAATATAGAGTGGTCAGCACTTCATGAAAGCGTATTACATAAGCAACGAAATAGTCAAAAGAAACAACCATAAATAACAGATCCAACCACACCTTAGCAGCAGCCAATACAAAGATCTACGTCACCGTCAACAGCTTATAAAGTCATATTTTTCTGAGCTTAATCTTTTGTGTTCCTCTTTGCTGCAAAAATGTTTTCTTTACTTGTTCCCTGTGAAAACAGAAGCACGTTTATGTGTGTAAACTGTTGAGTTTTTCCTACTTTATGTGATAGTCATTTTTCATGTTGCAGCAGTTGTCTATGTTATCTCTGATATTTGCAGATGTTCTCTGTTTTCTACTGTGTTAAGAATTAGTATCTTTTTACGACTTGTTATTTGTACAAAACTGATTTTCATAGACAGAAGTGAATAAAGAAGGAAAAACATTTGCTGTAGGTGAGATTCGATCTGGGTATTTCGTATCAGTACAGACGCAAAAACCATCAGTTGAATGCGGTTAACCGAGGGAAACCGGAAGTTTGGCAGTTAACTGCGGTACACCGAACGGTAAAGCGTCCAATTAATGGAACGTTTAACAGTGGGTTAACCGACGGTTTTAGTGACATGGGAAATGAATCGCTGTGCCATCGAATAAGTTTTCTTTTTCCAGCTCTTTTTGCGCGATGAAAGATATTGTAAATTGAGCGCCCTCAAAGACACTTTGTAAAGAGCCTTTTTTAAAGATAACGTAACTTGAAAAGAAATTGTATGCTTAATTGTGGTTTATCTGCATCGACCAAAAAACCCGAACGGAATCGTGGAAATATGTCGAAAAGATTCGAATGTAGGGGTCATTTTCTGGAAAAACGAAGATCAAGCAGATCAGAGCTTGATCAGATCATCAAGAAGGTCAGAGCAATCTTCGTTTTTCCAGAAAATGACCCCTACATTCGAATCTTTTCGACATATTTCCACGATTCCGTTCGGGGGCTCCTTTTTCAAAACAGATACATTGTAAAATATGGATTTGTATCTTTTATGAGACGTAGCCTTTTTATTACATCAGAAAGAATTTATGAATATACATGATCAAGAAATGATCCTCATCATAGTCGAAATAAAAATGAAGTTTTCGAACGAGAATATTGTTCACACACGGACAGAGCTACGTCCTAGGGTGCCATCAATACCCTTCAGAATGATAATAGTTGAGTCAGAAATAAAGTTTGGAACAAGTATTGAATACTGCTAACTCCACGGTACTCTTTGTAGCGCACTTTTGAAGTGAGTTCTAGTGTGATTTCTAGCGAAGTGAGTCTTATTTCAATATTAAATATCGCCCCACAAGCTGTGTTAAAATTCGTCTAGTATACTACAGTTTGGTGCGTGACATCTGTTTTAAGCATAACGTCAAAATTATTATCGCTTGAATAACGAACTTAGAACAAAATAAGAGAAATGGAAGAAGAAAAGTAAGAAACGATAGAGAGTGAATTAAAGACTTTTTTCTCAATAAAAGTGAAGAAAGACAGAGAATGATATGTTTGTATATGAGATATCTAACAAATATTGATACTAAGAAGAGGTTAAAATTAACATCAATAAAAGTTTCTAAATTTGGTTGTCCATCATAGAGACAGAAACTGAAATAATTTTGTACTGTCAGTCATTCGAATGAGGATCTTTACACGATATTTTTCATTCATTTCAACCCTCATGTGCTTACCTACCCAAGTAAAAATATCAGCCACTATTGTGTTGTGCTGTTTCAAGGAGAAGAATGTGTGTTGTGATGTTGGAGGAATAGTGCGGCAATTTTTCACGCCTTCCTTCCATGCTCTTATACTTACTTATGAATGAATCCCATCAAGTGGCCACGGAGAGAGTTGAGTGTGTGTGTGTGTACATTGAGTCACGGCGTAAGCACACGTTGTTTTTTTCCCTTTCGTCTTCTGTTCTGATTTATTTCAAAAGAGTTGTGAAATAACAAATAGATTTTTCCCTCAAAGAAACACAAATCACCGATAAGCTGCAACAGGCGTAGTATATAAGTAAGTCCATTGAATATATGTCAACGAATGCCGAGGAAAAAATGCAGAAAACGCCTTCTTAATACACCCCTACACTTCACAAGAGCATATTGTCATTCTTTGTGTATGTACAGAAACATAGGAGATCAAACGCTCTGTAACTTCAAGTAGCAGTCGCTTTTTTTCTACAAACTACCGTTCCCCCCGTTCTTATAATGAGACAAATGGCTTCATTTTAGATAATCAAAAAAAGATATGTAGAGCGCTTGACAAAAAAGATACTTGTTTTCACACTGGCCGGCAGCAACAGAGAACGAACCGTGCGCCAACTTTCTTTTTATCGCTCGCTATCTTTCGATTGCTTCGATTGCAACAGAGAACAAACTCAAATGCGTAGCGTCCTCCTGTTTGAAGAAGATAATAATACTTTTCATAGATTTGTTTGCGACAAGCAGATGTCCTTGTCGCATTCTATTCAAGTGCGCTCACTTTCTTTTTCACACTATCTTCCGATTGAGTCAGACAAGAGAGAGAGAAGAAAGAGGGTTATCTCCTCCAGCATTCAAGTAGCCTGTCGGAGGAAAAGAAAAATGTCTCGTTCTTTTCTTTTTTTCTAAGACAGAAAATTTTGCTATTTTTTTGTTTATTTTGCATCACCAACAAGCTGCGGTTACGGATTTGCCGAAAAAATGCCCAAAACAGGTAAACCCCTTCTCAAACATTCGAGCGGCAAGGAAATACTGATCCTCATCGAGATGTAAATCTCGTTTCGTTGGCTCTACAGATAACGGCGCTGAACTGTCGGCCAAATCGGCATTTTTGAGCAACGGGAAAAGGGAAGAAACAGCGCATAGGGGACTTATTAACAATCACCTTTTGTATTCAACAAGACCGGTAGCATTAGCTGTAGCTGTTCGTGTTATCAAAATAACTGCGTAGATTGGATGAGGGAGCTAATCGGCTCACTTTAGTGAGAGACTATGAGTTCATGAAAAGAGAAGAATATATGTTCTTATGAATTCTAAGGAGTACAAACAAAGAACTTTTGCCATTTTTCACTTTTGACATATTCTGTGATACAATATCGAATACTTGAATCTATAACTGTCTACTTTAAACTGGTAGCCAGTTTTGTTCCACTCAGTAAAAAGAAAAGCGGGTGCAGTTTTATACAGTTATACAACTTTAATGATTCGATCGCAATTGTGTCGAAGCAGCATGAATAAGTGTAAAAAAAAGAGGATGTGATGATGGAGAAGCTCTCTTAGATAGATGAAATTTTCTTAACTTAGCTCCTCCTCTCGTCATCAAGAGGACTTTAGCTTTTTTTTCTATTAACAACGACGGCGCTGATCGTTGATCGAGATGCTGGTCTCATACGCTTGTTCGTAAGAGTACTAATTAATTGTGTGTGCCTTCTGTTCTCGTGTTTGCATAGAGTAAGGGATGAAGAGCATTAAACCTGTTATTGCACTTTCATCTGGAAAGTGTTTAGGATAGACTAACCAAACTCGATGGTTTCCCCCCATACATACAATCACTTAGAAAGGCGCGCGTTCTTCTTCTTCTAAATTCATCGAATCGAATATTTCTTCTTTCCAAATGAAATAAAATGTGAACAAAAAGTATACTCTTTTTTTTATCTGTTTGAAATCGGTAGACAAGAAACAATAAGCTTATTACGTCGTCACTTTTTGGCGGACTCCGTCGTGTCAGCAGCTGTTAAGTAGCCAATGTATGCCTCTGCATGACGTCGAATGAGATAAAGGCGGCTTGCATTCTTTTGATTTTTTACGGTGCAACAGCCATTCATATCGGCAATGGCGCTAAACATGTTATATTCAAATAAGAGATTAAAAAAGAAATATCTACATTTTCATACAACTTTGAACACAAGCATCTGTGCACAAGAAAATAGTTACACTGCTTGAACTGATATTTTCATCAGAATCTGCATTTTCCTCAGAAAGAGAAGTTTGTTTTTTTCTAAATTTTTTTCTTATCTCAGTCTTCAGCATAGAATCACTGCCTCTTATACGAAAAGCACGAACTAGAAATCATCTCTTTCAAAACACCTGTATTCGATACGGATA